GGAGGTGGTAGTATTCTGAGGGATTCCAATGGTACTATTGTTTATGCATTTGCTATACCATTGGGAGAAGGGACTAATAATCAGGCAGAGGTACAGGCTGCCAGTTATGGACTCAATTGGTGCATCCAACATGGGTATCAAAACATCATTTTAGAAGTAGACTCTAAACTACTAACCAAATGGTTTTTGCAGATTTCTGATCCTTCTTGGAGACTTAACATGTTTGTGCAGGAACTACGAGACATTGCTAAACAATGTGCATATGTTCACTGTGTTCATACATAGAGAGAATCCACCAGTACAACTGACTTGTTGTCCAAACAAAGTCTCCAGCATGATATCATCCAACATTATTATACCCCCAACCAGTTACCAAAAGCAGTTAGAGGAAGTTATATTCTGGAGAAAATGGGAATTCAAAGTTTCAGAAGCAAAAAATTGCGAAGGATTAAATTTCCTCCTTAATTGATCTTTTTAAAACACTTCCTTGATTTTCTGTTTCTATCTGTAGCTTAACTGTTAACTTAGTTTGGTTGTTTAATTAGGAACAGTAGATTCTGGTGGTGGTGGACATTCTACTGAGGCATACAATAAGGGAGCTCTAAATGGTGTTTATCAATTATAGCAATAGGTGCAATTTGTAGACATAGAAAGCATATAATTACTACACTTAATGCAATTGGATTCTTGTGATACAATCTTTTCAAATAAACTATATAGTTAAATATAGTTGTTTGATTAGGCCTAGTTTTTAATTTCTCTCCTTGTAAGGGGAGAGTCTCCCTTATTTATGTATTATTAGTAACTTTGTATTAAGAGAGGAGTCCTCTCTGGGTAATTAGTTTAATATTACATCTCATTGTATAGGGTTGAGTCGACTAACCTTATTAGGTAGGTCGACTCTTGACCCACCTTAGGATATGAGGTAAGGTCAATGTCCCCCTCGTTGTATATTTTGAATTTTATATATGATAAGGCCTGGGGGTGTTGCTCACCCCCTAACAACCTCAAGAGTCGTTTGACTAAAAAAAAACAAAAAAAAAAACCATAATCCCTAAACCTACAACCCTAATTACTAAATGGTAAATATGGAACCCTAAACCATAAACATGAAACTCTAAACCCTAACACTACAACATTATTCCGAAACTTGGAATCCTAAACCCTTAACAGAAAACTCAAAACCCTAAACCATAAACTTCTAACCCTAAACCCTAAACCTTAACCCCGAAACCCTAACCCTAAATAATAAACTTCGAACCCTATACCATAAACCCTAAAACCTTAAGCCCAAAACTGTAAACCGTAAACCGTAAACCGTAAACCCGAAACCCTAAATAGTAAACTCTAAACCCTAAACACTAAACCTTAAAACCTAACCCTAAACCCTAAACACTAAATTATAAATTTAGAATCCTAAACCTAAACCCTAAACCCTAACCATTAAACCCCAAATCCTAAACTCCAAACCCTAAAAAGTAAACCGTAATCCATAAACCCAAACCCTAAACACTAATCCCTAAACTAGGAACCAAAAACTTTAAACTGTAAACCATAAAACATAAACCCTAAACCTTAAAACCCTAGACCCTAAACCCTAAACACTAAGCCTAATCCCCTTATCCATATACCGTAGGGCCTAAACCCTAAACCCTAAAATCTAACCCTAAACCCTTATCCCTAAACTTCATACCCTAAGCCCTAAACCCTTAACCCAAAACATTAACCCAAAACCATTAATCTTAAACCCTAAACCCTAAATCCTAAACTTTACTCCCTAAACACTAAACCCTGAACCATCAACCATTAACCCTAACCCCTAAACTCTAAACCCTGAACCGCTAACCATAAACCCTAAACCCTAACACCTAAACCCTAACACATAAACCCTAAACCCCTATACCCAATACCCTAAACCTTAAACCCTAAAACCTAAACCCTATACCTTAAACCCTAAAACCTAAACCCTATACCTTTAACCATAAATCCTAAACTCTAAACACTAAACCCTAAACCCTAAATTGTAAACATTAAACCGTAAACCCTAAATTTGGAACCCTAAACCCTACCCACAAAATCAAAACTTTAAACCCTAAACCCTAATCCCTAAACCTAAAATCCTAAACGCTAAACCGTTTAACCTAAAACCGTAACCCTAAACCTTAAACCTAAACCGTAACCCTAAACCTTAAACCTAAACCTTAATCCCTAAACAATAAATCCTAAATTCTAAATCCTAAACCCTAAACCCTAAACATTAAACTATGAACCCAAAACCCTAAATAGAAACCCCTAAACCATAAACTTCAAACCCTAAACCCTAAACCTTAAGCCCTAAACCCTAACCCTAAACAATTAATCCTAAACCCTAACCCTACACAATAAACTTCAAACCCTAAAACCTTAAACCCAAAACTCTAAACTCTAATCCTTAAACACAAAGGCCTAAACCTAAACCCTAAACAATTTATCCTAAACCCTAAACCCTGAATCATAAACTCTAAACCCAAAACCTTCAATCCTACGCCATAACTCGAAACCCTAAACCCTCAATGCTAAACATGGAACCCAAAACCCTAAACGTTACACCATAAACTTCGAACCCCAAACCCTAAACACTAAACTATAAATTTAGAATCCTAAACCTAAACCCTAATCCCTAACCATTAAAACCTAAATTCTAAAATCCAAACCCTAAACACTAAACCGTAATCCATAAACCCATACCCTAATCCCTAAACCCTAAACTAGGAACCAAAAACTTTAAACCGTAAAACATAAAACCTAAACCCTAAACCCTAAAACCCCAGAACCTAAACCCTAAACACTAAGCGTAATCCCCTTATCCATATCCCTAAGGCCTAAACCCTAAACCCTAAAATCTAACCCTAAACCTGAAACCCTAAACCCTTATCCCTAAACTTCATACCCTAAGACCTAAACCCTTGCCCCAAAACCGTAACCCTAAACCATTAATCTTAAACCCTAAACTAAACCCTTAACCCTAAATCTGAAACATTACTCCCTAAACACTAAACCCTGAACCATCAACCATAAGCCCTAAACCCTAACACCTAAGCCCAATACCCTAAACCTTAAACCCTAAAACCTAAACCCTAAACCTTTAACCATAAATCCTAAACTTTAAACACTAAACCCTAAACCTTATATTGTAAACATTAAACCGTAAACCCTAAATTTAGAACCCTAAACCCTAACCACAAAATCAAAACTCTAAACTCTAAAATCAAAACCCTAAACCCTAATCATAAACCGAAAATCCTAATAAATCTCACCTAAACATAGTGAGAATTCAACTTCAAATGGACCATACTATCAATAATCCTAATGGAAAAATTTGGTTGTTTTGGTTTAATGAAATCACTGGGGATATTCTGGAAAATCATGAGCAACATATTACAGGAAACTTCAAACACCCTGATCTCACTGAGCAATTCATGATGTCCTTTTTTTATGATAAATGTAAGGATCAGATTAGGAGACCTCTGTGGGACAGATTATTGTTCTATGCTAGTATGGATATACCTTGGTGTACAATTGGTGACTTCAATGTTATCGCATCTATAGAGGAAAAACTTGGGGGAATGCCTTACAACATGAATAAGAGCTTTGAGTTTATTAGTGTGATAGAAGCATGTGGTTTGATTGATTTAGGCTACACAGGGCTACCATTCACATGGTGTAATCAAAGGGATGCACAAGCTAGAGTATGGAGGAGGTTGAATAGGTCCATGGTTAATGAAAAATGTTTAGAGGTTATGCCTCAAACTACTATTGATCATTTATCCTCTGTTGGTTCTGATCATAGTCCCTTGTTGATGGAAATGATTAAAACAACTGAGAATTATACAAAGTACTTCAAGTTTTTACATATTTGGGTTGACAATGACACCTTTATGAAAACTGTGCAACAATGTTGGGAGAAGGGTGTCAAGGGTAATCCTATGTGGAAACTGCATCAAAAAATGAAACGACTGACATCTACCCTCAGCAAATGGTCCAAAAAGGAGTATGGAGATATCTATGCTAAAGTCAAGGAATATGAGGAGACTATCAGGAAAGCTAAGGAAGATCTTCTTACAAATAACACAGCAAGTTTCAGACAACAATTACATCATATGAATGGTAAATATATTAAATATTTGAAATTGGAAGAATCTATTCTTAAACAGAAGACTCAACTTCAATGGTTTAATGAAGGGGATGCCAATACCAAATACTTACATGCTTTGATGAGGGGTAGAAGAAGGCAACTATTTTTGCATAAAATTTGTAGTGGTAATGATGTGTGGATACAAGGAGATGAGCAAATTGCACAAACAGTTTGTGGATATTTTCAGAGCATATTTACTGGCTAGCAGAACATAATAGAAGAAGGAATTCTTCAGCACATACCTACCTTAGTTACTCCTGAGCAAAATTTGAGGTTATAGGCTATCCCTACATTGGAGGAGCTAAGGCAGGTGGTGTTTGCTATGAATCCTAATTCAGCACCAGGTCCAGATGGTATTGGGGGCAAGTTTTACCAAGCTTGTTGGCACATTATTAAGGAATATTTACTGGCAGTTGTTCAATCTTTCTCCTGTGGTCAAATAATGCCTAAATTCATGTCTCATGCTTGTTTGGTTTTGCTTCCAAAAGTTGAGCAACCTACTAGATTCACAGACCTTAGGCCTATTAGTCTCAGCAATTTCTCCAATAAAATCATTTCGAAAATTCTAAGTATTATATTAGCTACTGTGCTTCCACTACTTCTATCTGAAAATCAATCGGGGTTTGTAAGGGGAAGGAGTATCAAAGAAAATATCATGCTTGCATAGGAAATCATTCATGGTATCAAGATACCCCAGGCAGGAACTAATGTTGTTATCAAATTGGATATGAACAAGGCCTATGATAGGGTATCTTGGTCATTTCTTTGTCTGGTATTAAAGAAATTTGGATTTGGGGAAATTTTTATTGACTTAATCTTGAGAATAATGAGTAATAATTGGTACTCCATCAATATTAATGGTCATAGACATGGTTTCTTTAACTCCACTAGAGGTCTTAAACAGGGTGATCCTCTCTCCCCAGGCCTATTTATTTTAGGTGCAGAGATGCTTTCAAGAATGCTTAATCATCTTCATCAGACTCCTATATATAAAGGTTTTAATATGGAGCGTAAGGGTCCTCAGATTAATCATTTAAATTTTGCGGATGATGTGATTATATTTGCATCCTCTGATAAAGACTCTATGAAACTTATTATTGATACTTTAGGGGACTATGAACATGCATCTGATCAGCTCACCAACAGAGATAAGAGTCATTTTATGGTCCCTGATGCCACACCTCTTGATATCAACAATGTCATCAAAGAGGTCACAGGTTTTTCACAAAAAGCTAGTCCTATTACTTATTTAGGTTACCCTCTATATATTGGTGGACATAGGATCATTTACTATTCTCATTTGGTTCAGAAAGTGTCCAAAGAGATTTGTGGATGGAAAGCTAGGATACTTAGTTTTGGGGGCAAAATTACTTTGATCAAGCATGCTTTGCAGTCCAATCCTATACACACAATGGCTGCCATATCACCTCCAAATACTACTATCAAGTACATTGAGTCTATCATTACAAATTTCTTTTGGGGGAGAGATCAGGATAAAAGGAAATATCATTGAGATTTTATGAAGACCATGAGTTTACCTTATGCTGAAGGAGATGTGGGACTTAGAAAACTTACAGTTATTTGTACTTGTCTTCAGTTTAAGCAATGGTGGGTCTTTCGATCTAAATCTTCCTTATGGAGTCAGTTTCTTAAAGTAAAATATTGTCAGAGGGCTAATCCAGTTGCAAAAAAGGTGGATACTGGGGAATCATTGGTATGGAGGTATATGATGAAGAATAAAGACAAAGTAGAACAACATATCACTTGGAAAATTAGTTCTGGCAGCTGCTCCTTTTGGTGGGATGATTGGTTAGGGGAAGGTGCTCTAGCTAAGCATTCTAGTTATATTTCAAGCCTCAACAATGCTATTGTTGCTCAATTCTTGGTTGATGGTAAATGGAATGAAAGGAAGCTGAGGCAGCAGGTTCCACCTTTGCTCATCCCACATATTTTGAACTATACATTTCAATATCAACAAGGAGTTCCTGATATAGCAATCTGGAGGCCAAGTGAAAATGGAAAGTTCAGTTGTGCTTCAGCTTGGGAAATCTGTCGACATATGAATCATATTGTAGGGATAAATTCTCAGATTTGGCATAAACACATTCCTTTCAAAATGTCCTTTCTCCTGTGGATGGCTTTGAGGAGTAAATTTCCAACCAATATGGTATTAGGGAAGTTTGGTGTGGAACATGTGAGATGTTTTTGTTGTTATCAACAATAATGGGATGAAGTGGATCATATCTTCATTCAAGGACATTTTGCAGCTCATATTTGGAAATATTTTTCCAATATTTTGGGTATTGATGTGCAACAGACTTCCCTAAATAGCTATCTGTTAAATTGGTGTGGCAGTTAATGTAAAATTGAATCTCACAAGACCATTATTCAGATTCTCCCTATAGTTATATGCTGAAACCTATGGAAAAATAGATGTTCAGTCAAGTATGGGGGCAACAAATCTAGCATCAGCAGAGTTAAATATTTGATAACTAAAGACATGTTTCAGCTTCTCAGATCTGTATTTCCTTACATTTAGTGGCCAATAAAGTGGACAGAAGTTGTTGACAAGTTAGAGCAAAGTAAACATGAGGTTGGAGTCATCTCAGTCATTTGGAAACCTCCCCCTATTTCTCGACATAAACTTAACACTAATGAAAGTGCTTTGCACAATCCGAGGAAGATTGGAGGAGGGGAGGTATTCTAAGGGACTCTAATGGGAATATTATATATGCTTTTGCTATACCTTGGGGTGAAGGGACCAACAATCAGGTAGAGGTTCAGGCTGCCAGTTATAGGCTCAACTAGTGCATTCAACATGGTTGTAAAAACATTATTTTAGAAGTGGATTCTGAATTGTTAACTAAATGGTTTTTGCAGATTTCTGATCCTCCTTGGAGGATTTGCGGGCTTGTGCAGGAACACCAAAGTTTAGCTAATCAGTGTGAACTTTTTCATTGTATTCATACTTACTGAGAGGCCAATAGTACATCAGATTGGCTGTCTAAACAAAGTCATAAACAAGATATTATCAAACATTATTACATTCCCTACCAATTACCAAAAGCAGCAAGAGGAAGTTATATTCTGGAGAAAATGGGCATGCCATGTTTCAGAAAGATTAAAATTCCTCCTTGGCTTGTTCATTCGAACACACCTCCCTGAATTTCTATTTTTTCTTTCAACTTAACTAAGTTTGTTTAGTTTGATTTTTTGTTTATAAACATGAGCTCCAGGTGGTGTTTTTAAATGGGCATTCTTCCAGAAGCAACATATAGCAGGAAGTATCTCCAACCAAAGTTCTGAATATCTATTCTATGATCAAAACTAGTACAACAAGAGGAGTTATTTGCAGATATGGATCATAACCTAGAGAGCATATAATTACACTTCCTGCAATTTGATTCATGTGATACATTACTTTCGAATTAGCTATATCTTTAGGTATGGTCGTCTGATTAGGCCAAGTTCAGTTATTCTCTCCTTGTAAGGGGAGAGTCTCCCTTATTTATGTATTATTAGTAACTTTGTATTAACAGAGGAATCCTCTCTAGGTTCTTAGTTTAATCTTACATCTTATTGTATCGGGTGGAGTCGATTAACCTTAGTAGGTAGGTCAACTCTTGACCCACCTTAGGATTGGAGGTAAGGTATATGCCCCCCTCTGTGTATATTTTGAATTTTTATATACGATAAGGCCTAGGGGTGCTCCTCAGCCCCTGACACCTTCAACGGTCGTTCAATTTTTTTTAAAAAAAAAAACCCTAAACCCTAATTCCTAAACTCTAAACCCTAAACCCTAAACCCTAACCATAAACCCTAAAACCTAAACCCAACAACCTAAAACCCTAACCTTAAACACTAAATCTTAAACCTTAAACCTTGAATGATAAACATGGAACCATAAGCCCTAAACCCTAAACCATAAACATCAAACCCTAAACCCTAAATCCTAAACCCTAAACCTAAGCCCTAAACCCTAAACCCTAAACCCTAAATCCTAATCTCTAAACCCTAAACACTAAACCCTAAACCTAAACCCTAAACTATAAACTTTGAACCCTAATCCCTAACCCTACACAATTAATCCTAAACCCTAAACCTTAACCCTAAGACCTAAACCGTAAACCCTAAATCCTAAACTCTAAACACTACACTATAAACCCTAAGCCCTAACCCTAAACCCTAAACCTCTAGCCCTAAAAACTAAACCATAAATCCTAAAACCTAAACTTAGAACCCAAAACCTTAAACCATAAACCATAAAATCTAAACCCTAAACCCTAAAACCCTTGACTCGGAACCCTAAACCCTAAACTCTAAACCTTAAGAGTAATAAATAGATGGATAAAAATCCACCACAACCAAAGGGTCAAAAAGAAGGTGATCAGAAGGAGGGTACCATTTGGCAGCATAACCAACAAAGAGATCAGGGACAAATGCAGTATCAACAAAAGGATCACTGGCAAACACAAATAAGGAGGAACAATAATCAAATACAGGCACCTAGAGGCAATATTAGATAAGTAGAACAGTCCACTGAACATGGAGGTATAACTACTATTCCTACATCAAACACATATATTAATCTTGATGTTCAGGAGTCATCACCTAGTTTAAAGGTTCTGGACAAATACAACGGCAACAAAAGTGATAGCAGACCTCAGACAGCAGCAACAAAGCAGCAGGGTCAAGATGAGTATAACAGGAAACTAGCAAATGCTGGAAAGGACAACACTAATGTCACGACCCAAGCCTAGGGCCTAGACGTGACATGGCGAATAAGGAACCCGAAGGAACCCCAAACAAGCCTCTCAAACTTGTCATCACACTTCATCGGTCGCGGAAGCACATTCAACATTAATTAACGGGAAATAGGGACTAAGGGCAAACCATTTCAAAATGACATCATAGAACAAGAGTCAAGCTCATTTACAAAATACTTGTCCAACGCACACCTCTACATACATAGATAGGACGGGGCCATGACATTCTACCGGCTCCCCTCATAGTCAAAATACAAATGCAAGCTAAAGTCTCAAAACATAGGAGTAGGAAACATAACATAGCCCTCGAATCATTGAGGACTCACCAACAACTCGGATAAGCACCGTACTAGCCACGTGAACGAAGAGAAGGATCAAGAGTAGCTCCGGTCCCTACATGGTGACATCATGTAGGCAAAATATGCGTTAGTACTTGGAATGTACTAAGTATGCGGGGTGCAACACAACAATAGACAAGGACACAATCGAAATACAAGAAATAGTTTCATAGGCATTATGAATAACAATATGAGGATGCATGATCAAAGTGAAGTCAAAACATGTTTAAGTAACTCTATACTAATAGTAGATATCATATGTGTATGCATGATCCAACCAATCTATAACCCCAACTTAGGATGGGGGATGCCGTTCACACCCGGACACCCTGGTGGCAAGGTATAAACCCCTCACATGGTTGATGTTGGTCACACCCCAAGCATCCTAGGTGGTGAGATATAAACCTCTCACATGGTTGATGTTGGTCACACCCCAAGCATCCTAGGTGGTGAGATATAAACCTCTCACATGGTTGATGTTGGTCACACCCCAAGCATCCTAGGTGGTGAGATATAAACCTCTCACATGGTTGATGTTGGTCACACCCCAAGCATCCTAGGTGGTGAGATATAAACCTCTCACATGGTTGATGTTGGTCACACCCCAAGCATCCTAGGTGGTGAGATATAAACCTCTCACATGGTTGATGTTGGTCACACCCCAAGCATCCTAGGTGGTGAGATATAAACCTCTCACATGGTTGATGTTGGTCACACCCCAAGCATCCTAGGTGGTGAGATATAAACCTCTCACATGGTTGATGTTGGTCACACCCCAAGCATCCTAGGTGGTGAGATATAAACCTCTCACATGGTTGATGTTGGTCACACCCCAAGCATCCTAGGTGGTGAGATATAAACCTCTCACATGGTTGATGTTGGTCACACCCCAAGCATCCTAGGTGGTGAGATATAAACCTCTCACATGGTTGATGTTGGTCACACCCCAAGCATCCTAGGTGGTGAGATATAAACCTCTCACATGGTTGATGTTGGTCACACCCCAAGCATCCTAGGTGGTGAGATATAAACCTCTCACATGGTTGATGTTGGTCACACCCCAAGCATCCTAGGTGGTGAGATATAAACCTCTCACATGGTTGATGTTGGTCACACCCCAAGCATCCTAGGTGGTGAGATATAAACCTCTCACATGGTTGATGTTGGTCACACCCCAAGCATCCTAGGTGGTGAGATATAAACCTCTCACATGGTTGATGTTGGTCACACCCCAAGCATCCTAGGTGGTGAGATATAAACCTCTCACATGGTTGATGTTGGTCACACCCCAAGCATCCTAGGTGGTGAGATATAAACCTCTCACATGGTTGATGTTGGTCACACCCCAAGCATCCTAGGTGGTGAGATATAAACCTCT